GCAGCACCACTGTGGCAGCTATTTTGAAGGGAGATGAGGGTTTAGCAATTCAGAATGGGTGGAGGGGCTCTTATCACCTGGGCAATGTGGTCTGAGTTTGGTTTCCCCACCCCATGCACCCCTTTCATTTGTTTTTTTTGTCTTAAATCTCTTGAACTGCTCCCTTCGCCAGCTGCAACGCGCTTTCCTGTGGGCACTGCACACAACCACAGCAATCTCTGCTCAGTCAGGCAGAGGGAATGATGTTGTTAGCTCTGAATTAATTTGCTCTGTGAGTGTAAATCAAGCTTTGACTGTTATTTCTGCGAATTATTTTAGATGTAAATGCCACAGAGACAAATTGAATGTGTGGATGTGTGGAAAAAACACACTTGAAAGAGAGAGACTTCAGCTAAACAAAAGTTGTTCCCTTTATCATTAATATAATGGATTTTTAATAAACTGTGGATGCTCTTGGCTTTCAAAGTTGGCTGTAATCATCACTGATTCCTGTCCCAGCCTTAACCCTAAAAGATAACCAAAATTTTAGGGAAACTAATGGGCCTTTATCCCATTTTCCTTCAGTCCTGGGTCACTGTTCAGGCTTCTGGCCCAGGCACCCAGCGGGGGCTCCTCCGCAGGGGGCACTGCTGGAGTTTATTCCAGCTGAGACATAAACCTGTGTGACTTGGAGAGATCTCTGGTAAGAGGCTGTGCTGGATTTGGGACTGCAGTGCCCAGCTGCCCTGAGGAAACTGCTCTAGCAACTCATTCTGTGTTTCTCCAGTGACAGGGTGAGGTTTTTGTTTCTGCTGGTGGTAGATTGTTTGGGGTTTTTTTTTGTTTTTTATTGGCCAACAACAACTTGTGTCCATTAATTCCAGGCACTTGGCACGTACAAAGCAGTCCATCCTTTGAGAGAGGAGAGGAGCTCAGACACAGCAAGAAGTCTCACCTGTGCTAGGTGACATTAGTTTGAACTGAGCTCTGGACTATGGTTAATCCTCTTGGTTTTTTACAGTCTGTGACCTTCAGTAGATAATCTAATCCCACCTTCTTTTTGTTCCCCACCAGTTAGATGGACAGCACAAGGCTTCTCTCATTTTCCCCTCCATGCCATCTTCTGCTGTTGGTAAGATGGAGCCTGTCCCAGTCTAGCCCAGCAGTTTTGATCTCCGGTGTCAGACAGGTTTAATCACGGCTCCCAAGAGTCAACACCCCACCATGCTGCCGGTGTGCACTTCAAATTACCCAAACCTCCCTACAAGCAGGATGCAGCTGGGGTGGCTGGGAGTTGTACGGCCAGGGTTTGTACTGCGGCTGTTACACGGCCTGTCCCTCACTGTGGGCATAGAGTCCTCCAGTGTGTGAAACCACAGAGCTGACAGCAGCTACACCACCTTTCTGATGGTGCTGTAACCATGTAGGAGAAGCACCTCTCAGGGTTGCTTGGCATCAACCTTTCACATGTTCCTCTTCACAAGGTGGGGGCACAAGCAGAGCCCAGCCAGGACCCTTCCCACTGCTGACTGCTCATTCCTGCATCCCGAAGCCTGTGGGAAGGTGTAAGGGTGAACCCATGCACACCCTTCTTCCTCTGGATGATTTTGACCAAGCTTGATTGGATTTTTACAGAATCCTTCCCTTTCGTTTTTGCCACTCCCCTTGAACACAGCCTGTCTCAGTGCTGTCTGCTCGGGCACTTGAATCAGACCACCTGTGCCAGTTGCTCTTTGCAGTGTCATTTTTTGCATGACCTTTGCTGCTTCATATCCTTAAAACATTTCGTTGTGGATTCAGGCTCTTGACACCATATTCTCTGTTCAGCTGCATAAAAAAGGGTCTGTGTGGCAGTCTTTCATGAGCCTCTACTGCTAGAATTATCCATCTGCTTTTGTACTATAATGACATAAATCCCAAGCTTGGGCTTGGACTAACAGTCTAAAGCAGAGCTTTAATGCTTGCACAGAAGGCTGTAGTACTAATTTTGGAGACAAGCCCTCCCTGTGTTCCTGTGTGTGGGATTTGTTGCCATCTTTAGTGAAATTCATCAGGACAGCCGTATAAAATAGGGCAAAATCTGCTCGAGCTAATTGGACGGTTGGCAGGATTTTGTGACAGAACGGTGCTCTTTGGTGTTGCCCGACTGCCAGGGACAGGACAGGTCAGCAGAGGGGCACGGAGAGGCCAGCTGTGACCACACCAGTGGATTTCAGCATTGACCAGAGAAGGGCATTTGGGGTGGGAAGTGGCAATGAAGCACACGAGTCAGCTGGCGTGCAGCTTCATAGCTGCCTGTCTGACTGGTGCTGTGCTGCTGAGGAAGCTGAGAGACCTCTCCAGCAATCCCTGCTAACTTGTCTTTTAAGATTTCTGTAGAGCGCTCGCTTCCCTTCTACTTGACCTAGTTTATGCTGTGCAAGTTGAGTCACTGCCTGCGTTAAAAGCCTTCATTCTCCTACTTCCTTGATGGATTTCTAGTGCATTGGGTCACCAATCCAGACTACTGTTTGATCTATTTATTTGTAATCCTGTCTCTCCTGTAAACTTCATCAGTTTTATTTTTCCCTGGAACGTGAGTTAGTTTGGGAAAAATTATAACTGCTACCTTGAGCCGTTCTTCCTCAAGGATCGAGCACTTCAGTACAACTGTGAACTGTGGTTTTTGGTGAAATATGTCCATGAGGACTCTCCTGCTAGGAAAACTACTCCAAAGATACAGTAGCAGGTTTTGAGACTGTAGAAAACTGATAAGCTTGGTAAGATCAGAGAAGAAAACCAGATCTCTAGTAAAAGCCAACACAGCTTTCAAGGCACTTAGCAGAGGTACAGAGCGTTTTAAGTAATACAGATAAATATCTCCCTGGAGCTTTTGCTTTTTCATCTAAGCACAGATCAGAGAACAAATAGGGAAATGAGAGGGGGTGGGACAACAAAAGCTTTAAAGTTGGCAATGAACATTTTTCAAGCTGCAAATTGCTTTTTAACAATGAAAATAGCAGAAGATGCACAAGGCGAAAGCAGTGAAGCCGCGCATAAAATAATGGAAAAAAACGAGATCAGAGGGATGGAAAGTTTTGAATTAAGTGACTGCTAACTCCCTTCTTATAAATGATTAATTTTTATTTGTTCTTGGAAAACATTTCTAATTTGTTTTGGTCACTGCACTAACACAGTGGAAGTTGTTCATTGCTATCAGACAAATGCTTTTCAGATGGTGCATGAGCAAAAAGTGATACTTAATTCTATTTTTGTTAAAGGACACTGAAGTGCAAGCCGTGGTAATTCTGCATACAATTGTATTATCAGTGGCATTCCAACTGGCTTTGAGTTTCATATTAATGGGCCAGGACTTAGCCCCAGAACTGCTTTATATGCAGTCTATTCTACTGGTGGTGGAGAACCTCTATGAAATGCTATGATGTGTCAGAGCAAAGCTATGAGAATGCTTGAGTTTTTTGGTGAAATGTCACTTAAAGTTGAGTGGTTGAGGAGTTACTGCCACGGAAAATTCTGCTTTAACCATAAGCCCATCTGCAGCACCATGTCCTGGACCGAGTGGAGCTCCAGGTTTAGACAAGGAATACACCTTTGCTATCTTGTGCATGTTTATTGAATTCAAAGCATAAACAACCAAGTATTTAGTTCAAAAATAGCTCACGCCGCAGTCATTTTGATGTCAGGTTACTGCACTGAACCGATAGCTGCTGCACTGAATTTACACCTCACCGTGTTATAGGAAGTAATCAAGGGATGCAACCTTAACAAAACAGCGCATGCAATGAAAGCATTGCCAAGGACGATCTTTGTGGGTCTTGCTGTAACCTCTGGCAGCAGTTTATTTTGTATTACTTTCCTTTCAGGTAATAATAAGCTACTGGACCCTTGGGCACTTTTTCTTGGCCCATTGACACAATTAATGTCATAAGATGCACTTGCATTGCGGAGTGAAGTGAGGGCTCGAGAGCAGCTTCTGTGTGCCCAGGCTCTGACTGGTGCTTTTCCGAGCTGTACAAGATCAAGCTCAAAGGTGGTTTGATTTTAGTTTTGGTTTTCACTTGTTCTGGAAGGTTGAGGGTGACACCGTGTAGACCTTGGACAGCCAAAACTGTCCCTAGCAGTGCTGATAGCAATAGCTGTGTTTTCACTTCAGTTCCACTACTGTAGCCACGTCAATGCTGTTAAATTGTTCATCATATCACCCTTGGTCAACGTGCTGCTGAAGGGTATTTGCTAATACCTTGAGGAGACCTTAGGAAAAGGTTCCTGCCTATGAAACCGATGACTTTGAGGAATATAGATGCCATATTTTTCTTTCTTTCAGGCTCATGCTTGTATCTTGAGACTTCAATGCTTGTTCTAGCCACAACCTGCCAACCCTCCCTTATCTGTAGCTTATTTGGGGCTGTGCTGAGCAGAATGGCCCTCCTGTGGTAATGATGGATAATTCTGTAGCAAACATCCTCTTAGGCAACAAAAAACATTCTCAAATTGAATAAATGTGTGGATAAAAAGGAAGGTGAATGCTTTTCCCAAAGGCTAAGAGTTTCCTTGGTCTGACAGGACTTGGTAATCATAAGCATCAAGGTCTGAGTTGGCAGATGTGAGCTTGTTATGCAGTGAAGTTTCTTGTTAACACAGCAATGTAATAAAATTGTGTTTGCATCTTCTCTGCCCTGTGCCTTTTTATTTAGAGCCTGTTTTCTTATTCTTACTTAATCTTTTCCTTGCAGCACACAGCAGTTGTTGATTTTTTTTTTAAACTGTGCTTTACAGTCTAGAAAAAGACACAATCATTTATGGTAATAAAACATGAACAGAGAGAAATTCTCTGCAAAACGGGCATGCACCAGGCTGGAATTGTGCCCTGGAACTGCCTATGTAGTTTCCTTGTCTTTTTTTCCCCTTTGAACTGTGTTACAGTGTCCCTTGCCCCAGCCAAGCTCATGCAATTGATGCAGTGCTGCTGAGGATCTTGTGGTCTATACCAATTGGTTCTTCTTGTCGTTGCAGTGATTGCAGATGGGGCACTGGATAAGACGGCTCTCACAGACGATGTGGGGAGCGAGGAGGACCTGTACGAGGACTTCCGGAGCTCCAACCACCGCTACGGCCACCCTGGGGGAGGCGGAGAGCAGCTTGCCATCAACGAGGTACTGCGCTGGCTGGTTTCTGACAGGCTGAGGTGCGAGAGATGACAGGAGAGATGCTGGTTCTTGTTGTGAACCGTAAGAGGGGTCAACAACCAAACTGCTAATGGCAAAATGGATGGGGCTTCACGTGGTATTTACTGTGGGTATTGCTTGCAACTTGGTAATGACAGGGTCTGGGTCTTCCATGCTGTCCCTGACAGTAGAGGACAATGATGTAAGGTAATGCAGAGCCACAGGTCCTGAACAGGTAACTCAGGTGTTTTTGGATGGGAATTTGAAAATCATGAATGAGCAGCCTGATTGGGGCTGGTGTGAGACTTGAAATGTGGTGTGCTGAAGGCATAAAGGAAATGTGGATAAAAAAACCTGGTTACATACTTCTTTATTGGTAGATGAGAAGGGTGCCAAGTTTAATCTAGGCTTGATCTTCACTGCTTCTTCCTATTCCCCAGAAAACGCACTCTAGGGATGTGAAAGACATGCCTTTCTAGTCAGTGCTTTTGGCTATTTTCTTTTATAGTGCTGACACCTATTAACTTGAGATCAGCAACTTAAAAATGTGCTACTTAACTGATGCCATGAGCAACATATTAACAGGATTCTGCAAAAATAGAATGGCTTTGTCCAATGCATTAAAACTGGCATCTTGTTGCACACAGAATCCTTTTTTGGTGGGCTGAACTAATAAGCTTTTCCACTCAGCATATGCGTGATCTCTCGTACCCTTCACCTTCTTTCCCTCTTCCCTGTACTCTGCTACCTTTACATGACCTTCACAAGATGAGAAGGCAAGCATAGAAGATGTATTCTATTTTCTTGTGGCTAAGCTATAACTGAAACTCTGTTGACTGAGGCTCTGTGCTCTATGTTTGACACATAGCAATGGTTCTTAGGTCTGAAAAAGCTCCAGAAAGCTGCACAGTGAGGATAACAGCTTTTCTTCAAAAACAACAGCAGCTAATGCTCCTTCTAGCAGTTTTCCTCCTCCTAGTGCTCAGAATCCCTGCCTTAGGTGCTTGGGGTAAGGAAGAGACTTGCTGCATTTTCTTACTGCTTCTGTCCAGGGGTTATCAAACCATGGCCAGAGCGTTTTGACTTTTTTTGGTCATTTAACTTCTAATCAGGAAAGTGAATGGATGTGTCCAAAGCAGGTGTAATTTGTAGTCTTTGAAGCACATGTGGGGTTTTGTTGGCCAGTTGAATGGAAGAAAAGATGATTTTTGGCTTGTTTCCTAGAAGCTTGCCTGCTCATGGGCCAACAAAACTGTCAGAACAGGCAGGACATTATTTACTTTGTCAACTGGTTCCTACAGGTAATTAATCCATCACTTGGCTTCACTGAGCCTTAGCAAAGTGCTTTCCTGCACAATCACTTCCTGGAACAGAGGAGTACAGTAAAATATAGCATCTCTGAGGTGAAATACTACATCTGTGAGGTAGGGGTTTTCTGTGAACAGACATCTTCAGTGCTGGAATTGAAACATCTTCAGTGTTGGAATTGAAACATCTCCAATAGCTGGCAATCAGACAGGCTCATCTTCATCTTCCCTGCTGGACCAAAAGCTGGGTATTGATTAGTCTTTGAGTATTTCCCATAGAAGTGCTAGGAGTGATGTGAAGATATCGATGTCCAATGATTTAGTCCCAGCTTAAGAGTAGCCTTGTCTTTGTTCTGTTGTATTTCAAATTGCGTTTTATTGGTGGTGGATAAGGGAACTATGGTAACGGCATTATTCTTGGCCTTCTTGGAAGAAGCAGCTTTCAAATAAACAGAGGAGGTTGAAATAATTTTTTAAGGCATTTGGCAGACCAAGCGCTGTGTTAAAAAACAAAACACTCAACCACTGAGTTTTAGCTCGTTTTGGATCAAGAGAAAATGGTTACGAAATAAAAAAAAGAAACCTTTCATAAAACTAGAATAATTTATTGGCAAGAAGAGTAGAGGGATAAAAGAAAGCTGGGAAGGTTGTATAGAGCCCACCTAAGAAGATCAGCATGAGAGTGTGTGAGTGCCAGGAAAAATCAATGAAAAAAGTAATAATAAGGGTTTGGGATGAGAAAAGAGGCAGGGGAAGTAATTTTCTTGGGGCATCTGTTTGACATTCTTTCAAATGCTTTCTCGATGCTCATGAAAAGAGATTTATTGTGTTCAGATTGTACTTGGTGGAGTTTACTTTGTGTTTGTTCCAGATAAGGACCCTATCCTTGTATCTTTTTGCTTCCACGGTGTAATTAGGTACAGTGCGGCAAAAGGAAAATCTACGCTGCAAATGCATTACGGTTCTGTCTGCCCAGTTCAGAAATGTTATGTGTGGGACAGATGTATCCTCAGGCTTTGTGAAGTGTGTTATATGTAGACTCAAGGCACAAACACGAGGGATTAAGCCTATAAAAGCCTCTCTGCCCAGCTCCTGAGTGATCGTGGTGCTAATGAGGAAAGCTGCGCTGCTCATCAAGTAATTGGCCTGGGTGAGGAGGCTTAGGCCTTGGAAATATCCAATATTTGCTTGGAAATACCTGATGTGTACAAAGGGTTTGTTGTGTCCTGCTGTGGAAAGGGTCCGTGAGGCTCTGTGCTTTGGAGCTCTGTGCTTTCATTTCAGTTCAACATGTGGCGTGTGTAGCCCCTCGCAGCCCTAGCGAACAGTACCCTCCCCGTCTTGGGAAAGCAAAGCATTTAGGTTTGCAAAAATAACAGCAAGGCTCCCTATTCTTTCCTTATCTCTCATGGCTCTGTTTGATAAGTTTGGAATTTGGTATGTGAAGCCCTGTTCCTGAGGAAATGCACGACTTCAGCAGGCCAGGATTTTATCTGAGACATGGAACACCCTTGCCTTATGGTTTAAAGGGACAATATTACACTATGTTACAGATTTTTGTGCTAACTGGTGCTTGTTGACAAGATGCAATTAAGCTAATTGGCTCCAACTTATATATTTCTGAATTATCACAGTAATTAATACAGAAAAACGTTCAGGAAGTGGCTCAAACCATACAGATACTTTCGTGGTCCTCTCTCTGTCTCACTGGGTGGTGTGCAACTGGGGCTGTTGAGTCTCTGAAGCTTTATTCCTGCGCTAAACCCTTTGATGGCTCTCTGGGAAGTTGTTGTAGGCTCACCCAGAGCTCCTCCAGGCACAGCCCATTTTAAAACAAGACAGACACGTCAACTGGGGGGTTTCTTGGGGGTTTGGGGCTTTGTTTTTAAAGCAAAACAAAAAAAGCCAATCCCCAAACTCATAAAATGTTCTTGCAGATGCAGTTTTGTTAAATGTGAATGATACACTTCATCGCATTTTTCACATTATCTGTCTGCATTCCAGTTAGTACAAATCTCTTGTGTGCTAGAGAAGGACAAATTTCAAAAGACAGAAAAAAAATTGAAATAGTGCTGCAAAATGTCATTATCCTTTTTTTAGAAGGGTACAGAATAAGTTTCAAAACCTGTGGTCACAACAGATTTCCAGACTGAAAACAGAATTACTGATCATAAGGAAGCAATGTATAACATTTCTGCATAATCTGGGAGAGGGGATTTACTACCACTTTTCTATCCTGATGTGAGTATATTGCTCTCCCAACTGATACTAAAGCAAACCGAAACCAGTTAATAAATACCCTTCCCCACTATTTTTTTCCAGAGGGCTTAATTCCCACTTCTGTGTCCTGTGCATTTCTGCAACCAAGGTTGACAACGGCGCTCCAGAAGCAGCAATTATGATTTATTTGCAGAGTGCTGGATAAAGCTCAGTGCTGTCAAAGACAAAAAATAATGCTCCCCAATGGACATAAATCGTTACTGGGTCTGAGTGTTTGATCCCAGTGCTTGCGTAACTTTGTATAGGGCTCAGATGCGGACGAGCAGAGTATGGAGTCAGAATTGTAACTACTTTTACTGCCTGGATGGATTTAGTTTTTACAGTTCTCAGGTCTGGAAACTTCTAAGGTCGTTTCAGAGAACTTTTTGCAGTGGATTTAAAGCAAATTGGTATATTCAAATACTCTAGGGCAATGATGTCTCCTCAGACATCAGGATCAGGAGCTAAGTGGTCTCAGGGGTTGCCAGAGCCGTATTTCTGCTTTCTGCCACAGGCAGCTCTGGCTGCTAGGAGACACTTTGCCCTCATCAGCGTTAGGACTTGGCTGTCCCCTGTGCAAGGGACGCTTCCCCAGCAGGCTGGACATGGAGAGGGTGATGGAAGCCAGCGTAGCTCACTCAGCGCTGTGCATCATCCTCATCTGTCTTGCAAGTGGATGCTGGGATTTTTTGGACAGGTGGGAAAAATGGGATAAGCTTTCACACTTGCAGTCATGCAATCCAAATGCTTGTTCCCACACACATGTGAGGTGTGGGTAGGTAGATCCCATACCATATATGCTATGGTCCACACAGACCACCAGCAGGAGTTCGATTCACATAGAAGCATTTCTAGACAGTATAAAGTTTTTTGCTAGACCCATGCTTTCTCAAAATAGCCCTATTAATCTGGTACTCATTAGGAATAAACAAAAAAAACCCTGAGGCTTGGCTTAGTTTTTGGGGCAAGAATAGCACATGAGGGTTTTGACTCCTAAAGAGAAATGCTGAGGTGTCGCAGTGGAAGGGGCCCTGCACTTGCATAGGGGAATGTCTGGGTCGTGGGGTCGGTCTCTGAGTGGACCTGACTCCTCTTGTCAGGAGCCAAGCTGAAGAAGCAGAACAGGAGAGGTGGCCTCTGTATTTTAGCTCTTTGTGGGATGGCTGTGTCCCCACACACATACTCACTGCCCAAACTTTCATCTGTGGCTGCAAAGCAAACCTAAATACGTCACTCAAAGGAAAACACTGGAGCCAGCGTGATGGCTTTGGAGTTCTGGCATCAGCCCTGCCAGCTGTTAAACTGTGAAGAGACAGCTTCTGTTAATGCTTGTTAATGATAGCTTGTGAGTATTAGGGGACTCTTAATAATGTCTGTTGTCTGCTGGCATTAAATGTATTCCTGGTTACTGGGGTGTAGAGA